CTCAAAAATGAGGACTTATTACCTGCATTTCATTCATGCTCTGAATAGACAATTATATCTAAATAATCTCATCTATTTTACAATCTGAATCCAAATGAATGATTATGCCTTTAAAAAAAATATTTGTACTCTTTTAAAAGTGTCAGTTTTTTCTTTATTTGTACCTGAATCATTTCTACCTCCCTGTTGCGGTTTTTGTATCCGTGTTTCCTCTCTACATCGCGTGATGTTATGTGTGTGCTCTGCATTTAAAGGAGCCGTTTCCGCCGGCCTGCTTTTGTTTCTACCACCGTGACATTTGTTTTTGGTTCAGGCTCGACCTGTTCAAGTTGCATTTTTTTCTTGCTCGTGTGCCAATTTATGGAGGCCTGCAGGCAACAAAGAGAGGATGGCCAATAATGATCATGCACGTGGCCATGAAAAATGTTAAGGCGTGTCTTCACTAAATCTACTGTAGAAATGAGAGGGTGCAGTGCACTGGGAAGTATTTAAGTATTTAACTGTTTTAGACTTCACGTTTTTAGAGATTGTAGGTAATGCATGTAGTTTAATAAAATGTCCTCATAAGGGTAGATCACATCAGTGTCAGTAGACATGTGTGTAACATTGTTCCCACTGTTGCCATGGGCAAAGGGCAGGTGGGGTAAAAAGCTGGCATTTCAGAAGGTCTGGTGAATGTGCCATCAATCCCTGGAATTAATTCCCGCTGAGTGACCTGATCCAGTTTTCTCCGTTTGGCTGGCTCACATTGTGCTTTTACTAAATGCTCTGAGCATTTGTTGGACATATTTAGAATACAAGATAAAAAAAAACACTTTTATCTGGATCCTCTGCAGCAAAAGATTAAGCTCAAAACTGTTGTCATTATTGCTTTGTTTGAATCCGTTTAGGTCACACTGAAATACATGAAAGTAATGTAGATTGAAAACCTTAATCTGAGAATTAAAAAAAAAAAAAAAAAGAAATTTAAGTTGCATTCTCTCAAATGTCCACCAGGGGGCGACTCCTCTGGTTGTATAGAAGTCTATGAGAAATGACTCTACTTCTCTCTTGATTTATTACCTCAGTAAACATTGTGAACATGAGTTTATGGTCTCAATCTCTAGTTTCAAGTCTTCTTCAATACAGCACGATGTTCATTTAGTAACTTATGGTCCATTTAGAGTCAAACAGACCATGAAGTAGAGTATGCTTTAGGGCGGGGCTACCTTGTGATTGACAGGTTGGCGTTATCCATATTTTTGTTGTTACAACTTTAACCCTTTCTCAGTGTGTTTTCTGTTGATGAAAGTTAATAGGAACCTTTTTGGTCACCTAGAAATATCTTATTCAGTGTTCAGAGCTCCACTCTCATGTCACTTCTGGTTTAAAAAAAAACAAGATGGCGACGGCTAAAAGGCCGAACTCGAGGATTCAAAAGGACAGTCCACAAACCAATAGGCGACCTACTGGAGACGCTGATGTAGCTCAACATCATGAGATCTCACCGTATCATCAGACTAACAGATATGTTGCCTTTATATATCACCAGGACGGTCCTGGAGGGCTGTGGGACTCCGTGAAGAAAGCTGCGTTTGTCATCGGATCTGGAATCTTATTCTTGGCTGCATTTGGCAACTCGCTGACATGGTAGGATTTCCTTACAAGTTGCAGTGTTACTCAACAAACCAATGGCTTGTCTTGAAATGAACCTGGGGAGTTACAAGTTCACAGGTTATTATGTCAATGCACAAGAAAGAAAGGGAGCAGAACGGAAGAGAAGCGGCTGGGAGGTGTAAGGACAGGACGGAGCAGAGCAGGACTGGTCTGATCGGGTCCAAATCAGATAGCTGACGGCACTACAACTATTTTTGAGTTGTCTGCCATTCTTTTAGGTTGTAGAAAGAAAGAAACTGGAAGCTTGGTGCCAAAATCTGTGCAGATTTAAATATAAGTTTAATAGTTTCAGTGTCGAGTGCACAATAGTGCCCGTAACGAGATGGAATATTAACAGGTCTTTGCCTTTGCAATGCTCTTCTTCAAACGTCACAAAAGAAATGGGTTAGTTTAGTGTTGGCACTATTGGAACTGGATCACAGAATATCAACATACGATAGACTGACAAATCACCAAAGAAAAACATACCTCAAATATTCAAAAGATCCATTCTGATCAGGTGTCCAAATAAATGTATGCATGTCTGTTTGGGTGGGTTTTTCATGAGGAAAGGGCACGACATGACTTTGATATTTGTGAGTGTGTTCAGTGTGATTGCAAAGGTCTCATAAAGGCGGTTGCTGAAGTGTTTCTAGACAGTTAATCTGGCATTGTTAGGTCGATCTTAGCCATCACAAAATTATTGTAAGTATTGCAATTTTTCTAATTGGACCGTTCCTAGTCAGATGCACCAGTTAATGTGTAAATGTTGGTGGCAAAAAGTGTGGGATGAGTTCTCCAGACAAAGAAAAGTATTTTCAAATCATGTCAAGAAAATGGTCTGGTTTCCTCCTGCAGGCATCTTCAGAGGTTCTGGGGAGCTTCAGGAGATTTCTGGCAGGACATGTGGACCAAGCTGCACGTGATGTTTGAGGGTCATCACACTACTTTGTTCTACTTAGGTGAGAAAAAAATAACCCCCAGCCGGTTAGTTTTGCTTGTGTTAGAGGAACATGTTGTGACCAGCAGAGTGTTATTGACAGCTCCTAACGGAGGGGTCTTCATGAGGCCAAATCAAACACACAACGATCTGTTTTCTACATGATGACAGCATGAATGACCTGCGTTGTCTCGTTACACACTCGTGAAACACTCGGACATGGGTGGCTTTATGGATCCATAGAGCTCTCTCACCATTCCATTTATCTCTGTTTACTAATGTAGTTTTTAATTAGATTTCATGCATGATTTAACCTCCACCAGAGACACCAACGGGCTTTGTTTTCAGAATTATAAGGCCGCACAAAAGAGCACCTTATTTGGTGCCGGCCGCGCGTGTGTGTGTGCGTGTGTAGCGTTGAGAGCAGAAGGTATTTCTCGGTCAGATATGGTCTATGTTAGGACATTATGTGCTGTCAGTCCAAAGCAATATGCGTTCGAAGATATAGTTTCCAGTGTAGCGTTTTGTGAATATGTGATATGCAGCGAGATAAATCGATAAAGCACAGATGAAGTGCAATAAAACTCCTCTCACTGGGTGCAATCCTGCTTGATATCAGTGAGGATGTTAATTACCTTTTACATTGCACGTAAACAACATCCTTGATCTGCCATGTTGTCCCTACATTCAATTAAATACAGTTTATTGAAGAGACCATGAACATTTTTACAGATAGATTAATGTCACCATTTGATGTAAAATAAAAAGAACACAATAACAAACGGTACGGAAAGAACACACGATACAAAGTTACACAAAATGGCACATGACACATGTTTGCTTGTGCGATAAAACCAAGTCATGAAGACCATAAGATGGAGTTCAGAGCTGAGCAGCTTTTAACACACTTTCTACGTTTGTTTTGAAAGTGCTGATGGAGTTGCAGCTCCTCACAGCTGATTGCACAAACGCAGTGCTGTGAAATGGTGTTGTACAATCTGGTATGGAGGATATTCTTGAGGATCTAATAGAAGTTACTGAGCGAGTACACACAAAGTGGAGGAGGCGCCAAACCATTTAAAGCCAATTTAAAAATGTATAAACCGGAGCTCAAATTCGTAAATAGTCTGAAATTCTCAAAGCTCGGTTATTCGCGTTTCTTCAGTACCCGACAACGATGGAAATGCAACGCTCTGTTTGTCAGAGTTTTTAGATTTTGCGTGTCTTCCTCAACAGGGGCAATGCTGGTCCCCACGCTGGCGTTCTGGGGGACCAATGCTCTGCTGATGCTGGTGGACACCACCGGTAAACCCGCCTTCATCACTCGCTACCGCATCCAGGTGGACAAGAATAACCCGGTACGTCGAGTCTGTTCCAGTATCTCCTCCTGTTTCACTGTTAATGCCGTCCAGTAGTACTACTACCACTAGTGCCCCGACTATTATTACTGTCATTACTGCGAGGATTCTCATATCTACTAACATTGAGACTTCACTTTGCTCTTTAATCCCTCTGCCAATAATGTGACTGCATGAACTGCTTCTACTGCAGATTGTATTTGAACGGATACTGATACAGTAACTGTTAACATTTGCAGCTTATTAATCATAATATAAATAGTTTTATGGCTATTTATGTAAACTGCATCAATGAATGGATAAATAAGTAGATATAACTGCCACAATATACAAGGACTCTAATATTATGTGAAAGATCATCTTAAAACTATTTAAATGAATGAAAATCCATATATTTTGTAGTGTGTGTGTGTGTGTGTGAAGCAGCTCCCGAACTGTTGCTGAAGCGACGTGCCCACCGTCACAAAGTCCTCTTACTGTGTTTGATTAACGATGTTGATGAACACCGGGGAGATAAAGAGCGACATTACTGATAATCACAGCTGGAAGGTTACTCCAGTGTAATCCGATCATTGACAACCTTCCAAAGATTATAACTAATAACACAGTTCACAAAAATATCAATTTCAGGTCCATAATTTACAGTTGTTGGTTGACTTAAACTTTCATTTCTATTTTTCCATGAATATGAATAAGCTGTAAAGCCATAAAACTTAGTATTGCCTATGATGAGCTAGCGTGTGACAATCTGCTGAGTCATCGTTTGTGTCCTGTTGGTTTTCTTCGGTCCGTTTCTTTGAGCTCTGTGAACTCTGAACTTCAGCCCCGTCGGTCATAAACAAAGCCAGGACGTGCTGCTGTGAAGCAACAATAAAACTTTTATCAAGCAATCTATCTTTGTATCCTGAATTCAGTTTTTATTTTTTATTTTTTATTTTTTTTAAATTGTATGTCGGAGCCCTCGGGTCAATCTTCAGATGGCCATTTTTTTTTTATTACTATTAGTATGGCTGGAGCTATTCAAGTGTTCCTTTTGCTTAACTAAATAAGGAAATACTCGCTACTTTTCAATTGTCAAGCATTACATTCACACAAGAGTAAATAAACCATGTGGTTAGTTCATGTAAACTATTTATTTACAATATTCTTTTATTTATATATATATATATATTAATCAAAGCCTCTCTTAAGACTCAAAAATGAGGACTTATTACCTGCATTTCATTCATGCTCTGAATAAACAATTATATCTAAATAATCTCTTATCTATTTTACAATCTGAATCCAAATGAATGATTATGCCTTTAAAAAAAATATTTGTACTCTTTTAAAAGTGTCAGTTTTTTCTTTATTTGTACCTGAATCATTTCTACCTCCCTGTTGCGGTTTTTGTATCCGTGTTTCCTCTCTACATCGCGTGATGTTATGTGTGTGCTCTGCATTTAAAGGAGCCGTTTCCGCCGGCCTGCTTTTGTTTCTACCACCGTGACGTTTGTTTTTGGTTTAGGCTCGACCTGTTCAAGTTGCATTTTTTTCTTGCTCATGTGCCAATTTATGGAGGCCCGCAGGCAACAAAGAGAGGATGGCCAATAATGATCATGCACGTGGCCATGAAGAAAAAAAAAATTTTAAAAATGCCCAGCTCTAACCGCATGTTCCAGTGTATAACTCCTTCCTTGTCCGCTAGGTGGATAAAGTAAAGCTTATCCATGCGGTGAAGACTGTCATGTTCAACCACGTCTTCATCTCGGGGCCCATGGTGGTGGTGGCTTTCTACCTGATGACCTGGAGAGGGGACCCCTGTGACCCTGAGCTGCCCACCTTCCACCGGGCCCTGATGGAGCTGGCTTTCTTCTCCATCTTGGAGGAAATCATTTTCTACTATTCTCACAGGTTTGGATCAGTAATTGTTTAATTTTACACCTGTGTCGTATTGTTGTACACCTGTGCTCTTCCTGCTGTGACGGTCATCCTCTTTTTCTACCCAGTTGACGATAACATGTCTTCCTCATTTGTGATTCAGTTGTCATTCAAACACCAAGCTTTAAACATTACTGCCACCTAGGGGCAAAAGTGAAGAATGTGACAACAAAGAAAATATTTGTTTTGCTGTATATTGATAAAATATTATTATTATTTTATCAGGGCCAGAAAACAGAAAGTAAAAAATAATTTCACATAATAGCATCATCAGGTCAAAGTTTCTATTTGTCCAATAGTGTTTTACTCTCAAACATCTTCCAAACTAGTGAGTACATTTACTCAAGCACTACACTTTAGTACGATTTAGAGTTTTTTTTTTTTTTGGTTTTTTTTCATGTTATCATACTTTACATCTCCACATTTCAGAGGAAAATATTGTACTTTTTATTCCACCTTATTTGATACCCCTACTTGGTACTTTGCAGATTCTGATTAATAATACAAAATATACTTAACAATGTAAAAGGAGACTTATTCCCAAGCGACCCAGCAGTATATAAAGTGACTCAATTAGCTCCACTTTTACCAGCTGCAACATTAAAGTGATGCATCAGTAATTATAATCTGATCTGAAATGGGAAATTCTGTGTACGGAGTACTTTTGGGACTTTACAGTTACTGTGAGGAACTTCTAACTGGCTATTTCTATATACTCTTGATGCTCGTCATCGGTGCCACCGGGTCTGATTCAGACGGTCAGACCCTGCTGCAGTAAAGCATTATTATCCTCTTCTTTTCTCTCAGGCTGTTCCACCATCCCACCCTCTACAAGCGTTTCCACAAACAGCACCACGAGTGGACCGCTCCCATTGGACTCGTATCCATATACGCTCATCCTCTGGAGCATATAGTGAGTAAAACCCCTCCCGGCTTTTCATTTTCTCTGTCTGTCTCAGTAATGTTCTTGAACTCTACAAGCTTTGATCATTGTAGATCTTTCACCGTCGTCGTTTGCTGGATGTTCCTCGGCCATTACAACCAGTTTGTTCGTCCTGTTTGTCTTTAGATCTCCAACATGGGGCCGGTGGCATTGGGGCCGGTGATCCTGGCCTCCCACCTGACCACCACCTGCATGTGGTACTGCTTGGCTCTGATCAGCACCACCATCTCCCACTGTGGATACCACCTCCCCTTCCTACCCTCCCCCGAGTTCCACGACTTCCACCACCTCAGGTGAGTCCACACATCCAGTCATCAAAGAGTTCCTTTTAATGAGACTTAATGCTTTTATACGTCCGGCCCATTCTCATGAACACGATTCCCGCTTCCAGGTTCAACCAGTGTTTCGGGGTCTTCGGAGTGCTGGATCGGCTCCACGGCACCGACGCTAAATTCAGGCAGACCAAGCAGTACGAACGCCACTCGCTGCTCACCAGTCTCACCCCAATGAACGAGAGCATACCCGACACGCCCAAGAAGGGCCATTGATGACATGTGACCAATGAGACCGTTAACTTCAGGATCATATCGGGAGATACGGTTCTCCGTCTGAAATGACTATTAGATTTTAATCATTGTAATCCAGACAACCCGCTGACCGGTATCCGACTGTGAAAGTCGACACTCTGCGGCCACCAACCGCACTCTTTATTTTTCAGGTAGAAATGTTGCACTTTATTAGACATGCAGATTCCTGATAAGGTCGATGTAAGAATTTGGATGGTTGAGTGTGAAAACAACTCATTTCTCTTTAATGCACTCTGCATTAACCTCCCTCCTCAGGTGAAGGAGCCATGTTCTGCCCTCATACACCTTCAGTTAGTTAGTGCTCGCTACCCATAAAACCTTCTGTTTTTAGGCCTTTTTTTTGCCTGTACCAATTCATTGTCACTCGTATCATCCTTACCTGGTTAAACTAATGACATGTTCTTAGTTTAAACATTAGTAGTGTCCATTATAAACACATGCACATTAATCTTAAGTCATGTTTTAATTCTTATAAACACATCTTGTATTTAGAAGTAATGTTTAGTAACAGCTTACTTCTTCTGTTGCGTTCACTTGCTGCTCAGATACATTTGCACTTTTCCTCTGCGGCATTAAAACATATCCTTGAATGTAAAATGTGTTTTTATGTATTTCAGGAGGCCTTAGTAATTGTATAATTGTTGTATAATAAGACATGAATGTTGAAAAATGACTGCTACTGTGATTGAAACAATATTACAGGAGTGTTTAATATTAAAGCATTTTAATTTAAATTGATGGCATTATTTTGTTCCCTTTATTCTGCTATGGTCACGGGCAGTGTAGTACACAACACCGCCTCAACCGAGACCACATCAAGACCAAGGCAGTGCGAGACAGTCGAGACAAAGACCAGACCCGTGCAGGTCCTACACTGCATGGACCCACGTGGAACATGCAAACCACAGGCACTCAATTCGATCTGAAAGATCCACATTCACAGAAATACACAAAGGAAGAAAGTGAAGCAGTGACAGCACCTCCTCTCTGCTGGAATAACAGGCAAGACTGAATAATTATTACGTAAGGATCAAAGATCTAAAAAATATTTTTCAGGCTTTTTCCAAACATTTAATTCCTTCAACTGTTTGCAGAAGCACCCAGTGAAAAAGAGGTATTTACTGCATTGCACACGTTGTGTTCACATGACCGATGCATCATTAGTTATCCTGAGCTAACCGTTAGGAAACGGAGCCTTCAATTCCTATCGGGTGAAGAAGAGTGAAAGTGTCCACAGTAATGGACAAACCAAAACGAAGCCAACCTCTCAACTACTGGAGAAGGAAGGAGGTTGGTCAACAACAGTTTTTGGTTCATTTAAATGTAAACAAAGACTTGCGGTCAACGAGCTGCCACGAATGCCCTTTGTAGGGTCTAATGGCTCGATACCTTTACAGCTATTCAAATTCACCAAAACGGATGGTGGG